ATTGGATGTTGGGCAGGGGGGAGGGGCAGGGGGAGGAGGGAGGAGGGGACGGGTATTTGCATACACAAAGAGTGCAATGCGCACCACCCGAAGGAGGGACATATTTGAAACTCGGACTTTGGTGGGGGACAAGGGCAACATACGTAACCTAAACATCTGTACCCGCATAATATGCTGAAATAAAAAAAAAGAGAACAACAACAAAAAAAAAGCAGATCACAGAACAGTATCGTTCTACTGATGTGAAATGAGCATATCGCATATGCATAAAATCTCTGGAGAAATAAACACAAAATTCTTAAGAGGTGTTAACTCTGAATAATGGGATTTTTGGTGCAATGAAGGAACACTTGGATTTTTATTTTATACTTGACAAAATAATATTTTTGACTGTTTCCACTGTCAGGTGTAGCATTTCTGAATAATCTTAAAATAAATATATTTACATTTGGGAGCACAAAGAGAAAAATCCCCAAGGAAATGCAACCTCCCCACTTGTTAAAGAAACCCCTTGGGTCTGGGGAACAGTAGAACACAGGAAAGGGATGAATGCTCAGGAGGAAGCAATGCCAAGGCCTGGGGACCTTTTGGGTTCATAAATAACATTAGTTGAGGCAGTGCTAAGTGCTCATGGGGTACACGGGGTGGTGGGAATGGTAGCGGTAACGTCTCAAAATGTTTTCTGATGTGTTCAGACCTGGGAAAAAGTTCATGCACACTATTGTGACTGATCATTAAATGTGATGAACTGTGGAGAGACAATCTTGTCCCAGTCCCTTACTGTATAGGTGTACCCAAGCCCAACCATAGGCTTGGAAATTTACCAACCATGATAAGGAAATTTCTAAGATCACAGAGTGGTGCACGAGTGGAGATGCTGCAATTATAACCCATATTCCTGATTTTTGTTCACAAGAATTTTTCCTTTGAGGGAAACACATTCTCTTTAATCCTGAAGTGTCTAGAGACCCACGAGTATATTTCATCTCTGTTCTCTACATGAAATTGGCAGGCATGGCCCCAAAGGCAGGGAGGCCGAGGGCTTTGATGGCACATCTTCCTCCCTATCTCCCATCTGTCAGTCCTACTTCTGTCCTTCTACAATCATCTCCTAGCCAGAGGAAGCAGGAGTACCCAGACTATTTTATATCATTTACACCTTCAGGAAAACCTAAGTTCAGTGTTTTTTTTTCCTGGTAGGAAGGATGAGGCCAAGCAATAACATCAAAGGTACAGAAGCTGGTTATTATACGGCCACACACTGATGGGAGGTGATTCCACAGTATGAATTTTATTCTCAGCCCCCTGCCCCTTCTCGTTCTTCATTTATTGCACATCAATTTCTTCATCTCATTGACATTCCTGAGGCATCTTGTTGGATGTCCTACTTCTCCCATCCTTTCTTATCTACCATTTTCTCGTCGTGTCCTTTCCCTCACTTCCACCCTTCCTTTCTACCCCTTTTGCCCACCATCCTGTCCCTGTGTCCTCGCATTTCATCCTCCTTGCTCCACTCCAATCCTGTCCTACCTCCCCGTCTCATAGCTTCACTTCCTCATCTCAGCTCATCTTTCCAGTCCCTTGACCCCAAGAGGAAATCTCAGAAAGCTGAGCTCCAGGTGCAGCCATGGGGACAGTTTTAGGAATGATACGGCAGAGGGACAGTAGAATTGTCAGGACAAGGTAAGCAGCCTTTCCAGGGAGGCTGGAGAGAATCAGAAATGAACGGGCTCAGTGCCAGTTGAACATCAGGAGGAGGAAATACTGTGGGTTGGTGCTGTCCTGATGTACCAACAACGTAAAGTCAGAAAGAGGCACCACCAAAGGGAAAAAGGCTGTGGTATATACTTGGTAAACACATTTGGGAAGTGGAAGAGAATAGTAATTCAAGTAGGGATCAAACACATATTTAAAGACAAGTTTTAATGTATGCATATGACACCTTGGTGTTCCTTAATTTAAATAATCAGCTCAGTCCATGCAACAGAGGGAGAGGGAGAGAGGGAGGGAAAAAGAAAGAAAGATAGATTTTCTTCCAGGAATTACATTTATAGACATGTATTTTCCGAGCAAGGAGCTTGGGAGAGAAAAGACCGACTTTGGAGGAAAAGGCTATGTTGGGTACTCTACGATGAAAATTCTAAGGACCTAAATGGAGTACAAATGCTTACTCTTTCAAAGGCTTTATCACGTGTGTGAGGAAGTTGACACTAAATAAGAGAAAAAAACATGGCAGGGGATGGAGATGGACCATCCCTTTCTTGACTTTAGGGTATATCATGTATGCATTAATGTTTTATTTAGGGGGCTCTTTTCCTCTCTAGCCCCCTCTGTTCCCTAAATATCCAGTGGGATTCTTATGTGGTAGTGGAGAGAAGAAACTGATTTTCTTGGAGGTGAAAGGCAAACAGCTGAATGAAATAATGTTTGGCACTGGGCTCATGGTTTTAAAAAAACTTTCCGTACTCTTATCTGGAGGGAATCTGACATCCCCGCCAGAAGGAAACTTCGCAGTGACGTTCTTGGTTACTTCAGCTGTGACTAACCAAATGGCCTTTCCCCATGAAACATTGCTTCCCAGGCGCACAGGGCTGCAAGGCTTCAACTCTGCCCAGAAAGTGGACACAACTGAAAACAAGGCAGCCACTTGCCCAGGAGGCTTGCTTGGCAGTGCCCAAAATCATATCCTCCCTCTTTCTTTTTCTCTATAGCACTTATCACCATGTGACATACTACCTGTGATACTTATTTTGTCTACTTTTATAGCATATGAGATGCATGAGTGCAGAGATTTTTGTCTATTTCATTCATCAATCCCCAAAAGACTGTCTGGATCATGGAAGTAATTCAATAAATATTTGTTGAATGAACAAAGGAATGAATTCTACAGGATCTCCTGCATTTGTATATGACAAATACAGAATATTGATCTTCAGGCATCAGGAGATAAGAGAAAATGGTTATTGACTAATTTTTACTGGTTACTGCCTTCATGAGAAATTTCCCTCAGTCCAGAAGAGGCAGGAAAGGAGGGACCTTGTCACCTCTCAGGTCAGTGACCACCTCCCCACAAGTATCCGCCACAGAGCACCCTGAACATCAGTGTTTCTGAGGCTGTAGATAAGTGGGTTCAGCATGGGGTTGATAACAGTGTTGAAAACCCCAACCCCTTTATCCTTGTCTGAATCTTCCTCTGAACCCAGACGCATGTAGTTGAAGATACCCGTCCCATAGAAGAGGAACACCACAGTCAGGTGGGAGCCACATGTGAAGGCCTTCTTCCTGCCCTCTGCAGAGCGGATTTGTAGAACTGCAGCTGCCGTATGGATGTAGGAGGCGATGATGAGAACCACAGGTGCACCTACCATCAAAAATCCCAGAGCAAAGAGCAGCAGCTCATTGAGTTGGGTGCTGGAGCAGGAGAGCTGGAAGAGCTGTGGGAGGTCACAGTAGAAGTGATTGACCTCTTTAGGGCCACAGAAGTTGAGAGTAGTTAAGACAATAGCGTGGGTCAGTGCATTGGTGAAGGCACAAGTCCAGGACACAGCCACCAACATCCTCCGGACTGTCTGGCTCATGCGGATGCTATAGGTGAGGGGCCGGCAGATGGCCAAGAATCGGTCATAAGCCATGGTGGTCAACAGGAAGCAGTCCATCCCAGCCAGAAGGTGGAAGAAGAATAGTTGTGTAAGGCAGGCTCCGTAGGAAATTGTACGCCTGTGGGACAAGAGATGACTCAACATTGCAGGAACAGTGACAGTGATACATCCAACATCCAGCACTGATAGGTTCCCCAGAAAGAAGCACATGGGGGTGTGTGGAGTTTGGGCTCCACCAGCATGGCAGCCAGGATGCTGAGGTTGCCCCCGACTGTGACCAGGTAGGCAAAGAGGAAGAGCACAAAGACCAGAGACTGCATCTCTTCTGTTTCCACTAGGCCCAATAGAATGAACTCAGCAACGGCAGTTTTGTTGGTCCCAGCTTCTGGCTCCAGGAGTTCCTGTAAGGAAACATCCCAGCAGGGGAGGTATCAGTCCACTCATTCACTTACTCAACATAAACATTTGAAACCATTTATGTTCAAAGTCCCATGGTGAGTGCCCAGTGTCTACGTGAACGTTTTCCCAGGACCCTGGCCATACCTCACACACTGACCTCCACCAACCACCTCGATGCGTTAGCCCTGCTCTTGGTTGAGATGCCCAATGCCACCACCACCTTGTCCTTCCCATCCTCTGCTAGCTGAGTGGGTTATAATACTTGGGAAAATAAATTAAGGTAAAAGATCTAATGTACAACATGAGGACCTAAGTGAATAAAGTGTATTTAGGGTTTTGCTAAATGAATAGATTACAGCTGTTTTTGCCACGGGGTAACTGTGTGAGATGATGGGTATATTGATTTGTTTCTCTATAGCAACCATTTTACTACAGGTGTGCATCTCATAACATCATGTTGTATACCTTAAATATACACAATAAAATTTGTTTAAAAAAATGATAAAAGAAGGCTTCCTCTTTGAATACAGTAAGATTTAGGTGGAATTTCCTCATTGTTCTCTGAAGGATGAGCCGAAGCTAATAAGCAGATTTCAAAATAGAAATTGAGAGAAACTGGAAAGCGTTTAAAATATAACCTGGGTTTAAAGGGTTCTAGAACTAAGTAAAAATCAAGTGAAGGTACAGCAAGAATCAGAGAGAAGATACCCATGATTGTGGATGTCAGAAGGATTAGCTGAGTGCATTTCTCCAAGGCGAGGGACCCTACTCTGAAGTATATGTTTAAAATCCCTTGTTCAATAAATCTCTAGTGTTATTATTGTTACTTAAGCCCTTATACTGGACTTTGTTTAATTTAAAATTACTTATTTCATGTATGTTGTCTGCTACTCCTCTCTAAAGTCAAACCTGTAAGCACAGCCTGTGTGTTGGCTGTTGACAGGTGAAGTTTAGGATTCTGCAGTCACTGACTGGATTTCCACTTGTCCTTGACTCAGGCGCAGTAGATGGGCCAATGGCTCTAAGGATACGTCCTCAAAGGAAGAAGGCATATACGTGGAAACCCAGACTGAATTAAGTCTTTCAGATTTTATGTCAAGCTCTGGATCAGAAAAGATCAACGTCTCTATTGCCCAAGGAACAAGCGGGGCTACAGCTTTATTACGAGCAATGTCATTCCCTTACACAGAATTGATGGGAATCAGGATGGGAAGCATTTGGAGTCTGTTAACTCTAACAGAAGGGGAAGAGTGATGATCACCTGAGGGGGGCTGTGAAATTCAG